TGTCAATTTCCTGTTTGTAATCTAAAATGACTGAAAATTGCAAACTTCGCAAGGCTATATTATCCGCATTTTACAACATTTCGCAACGAAACTTTGGAATATTACAAATTTTGTGATGCTCTTTCAAGCTGTGATGAAATTTTGTTGAGATCAAAATTTAGTCTATAATGCAAATGGTCAATTGATGAACAGCGAGACATGGATCTATATCCACAATATCAGAGGTGAAAGGCGCTTGCTTTGACGATAGCGCCACCGAAGCTCTTAAACACACCATGGGGTCGCCGGATCAATAAAAGCGGGCTGTGAAGAGGTTCATGGGAGGGAAGGGAGCGGAGCCGGAAGAACAGAAGCGGGGGGAGGGGGCAGCAGAGAGGGAGAGATGCGGGGAGGGGGAAGACAGGCGGGGGAGGGGACAGAAAAACGGAGGGAAGGGGAGAAAAGCGGGATAGAAGCGGGAAAGGGAAGGGCGGAGGGGGAAAAGTATATTCTATCAAGGCGACTACAACAGGCTGTTGCATAATGGCACAAAATAGGTAAGAAAAACGAGTGGCATGATGGCATGAGGAACAATGGGAATTTCAAAATGGAAATTTCGATAACTTGATTGTGATAGATGCACGGCAACTCTGTCCCTCTCCCACCATATCTGCCCCTCCTGCTAAAAGGAATCGGCGTGGCAGGCACCCCTTATTTCGGGGGCCTTGCAGTTCATACTTGTAAATACCTTATCCTAACGGGTTGCACAATTAAAATGTTATGTCCAACCATAAATAATTAAGCACTTCTATAAAATTTGTAGGAATGACAATATACAATAGTATAAGTTCTTTGTAAGTTTGCATGGCGATAAAACATATTGTAATAGTTTTGTTTGTGGAAACACAACGTAAATTTATCCCTGCAAAACTTTCGATCCGTAAGCCCGGATCTTCATCAGTGCTAATATGCGACTTGTTCAATTCACACGCCCTTTTTATATACAAAAGTGTCGTGATCTGTTGGCTAGCGTCATTTGAAATTTAATTAAACGGTACATCAACCACGTCATTTCAAACGTATAGTGAAGTGATTCTAACTAACGACAAGAGAAATTAATTTTGCACATTAAAGAGAGCACGCCACTGGCTTTCCCTCCTATAGTATTCTGCTTCTCGATTTCAATTGATTCTCTCATTTCTTGTTGGGGTTTTTTTTTAGATGTTCTGTTCACTATACAAGATGGGTTGCTAGGGCCTAATGTTTATAGGAAATCAACACACACGGACAGGTATCTGCATTATAATCCATTTCATCATCCTAGTATTAAAAACTCCGTATGTAAGACACTCATCAACCGAGCGAAAACAATTTGTCAGGTAAGTAACATTGACGATGAATTAGAACATTTAAGAAATGTTCTAAAAATGAATGGTTATCCCGGGCATTTCATAAATAATGTTATGAAAACACCACAAAGTGTACAGCAGAAGATTGAATATTAGTCTTCTGTTTGTCTACCTTACATTGGTCCGGCTTCACACAAAATCGAGAAGATTTTGAAGAATAAATCAGGTATAAATTAAAGGTATACCATTCCAGCGAAAACAAATTGTTTCGAGCTCTTTGCACACATAAGGACAACGTGAATGAATCTCAGAAACCTGGTGTGTACCGCATTCCTTGTGAATGTGGTCTGGTTTACATTGGTGAAACTGGTCGAAATCTCTCAGTACGTCTTAAGGAACATAAAACGAATTACGAGAAAGCCGAGCAAGATAAATCTGCTGTGGCTATAAAATATACTTGGACTTATGACCATCGTATAAAATGGGACGAAGCAATCATTTTGGCGATTGATAGTCATAAGTTCTCTCGCAAAATGAGAGAGTCAATTGAAATCGAGAAGCACAATACTATAGATCAGGAGGGAAAGCCACTAGATAGACGTGGCGTGCTATCTTTAATGTGCAATGATTTCACTTGTCTAATTGGATGCGTTCGCGCTAATTATACTGTAGAATCACTTCACTACGTTTGAAATGACGTGGTTGATGTACCGTTTTAATTACATTTCAAATGACGTGAGCCAACAGATCACACTTTTGTATATAAAAAGAGCGTGTGAATTGAACAAGTCACATATTATTAGCACCACAGAGTATTGACATAACTAGTGTACCCACTTTTTTTTGTGTACATGCTTGACAAGTTACTAGATGCATGCATCTGATTGGATGACGACCTGATGACTACTCACTTTAACCACTGTGCTTTAACTGCTCGCGGAACTAGCTGAGCACGCGCAGTTGATCATTTTTTGCCCGGTCGCCGTTAGTTACAGCTCTGTATGTCTCTACTCTGTGTTAGCACTGATGAAGATTTGGGCTTACGGATCGAAAGCTTTGCAGTAATAAATTTATATTTTTCGTCTTCTAATTATTGTGAAATATACGAAATCCTTTTTTCCAACTTGATTGTGTAAATAGCATTTTTCTGTATTCTTCAAAGGCGAATAGTTAAAATCGTTTGATGGTGGGATACGATTAAGCAAAATAGTTTGCTTAGAAACAGTATACGCGACGAGTCGTAATTAATTGGTTATGGATTTCAATTACAACAAACCAATGAAAATACAATTTTCTCACAATAAATAAACTCATGGACATGTTATATTATAAATACAAGATATTACATTGATTCTGATTAAAATTTAATAAGATGTGGAAAGTGTGTCTGTAATTTTAAGTGTATTTCTAGCTTGGGAAACCGAAAATTTCCCCCGTTGTTGTTAGTATATGTTGTTTTTGTTGTAAAAGATCTTTTATTTTTCTATTATATTTGATTTTCCAATCTACACTGGATAAGGTACAGATTTACAAGTGAAAGAAAGTGCAGTGTGGCTGAGTACTGGGTGTGGGGGTGTAACAGCCCCCAAAGAAAAGTAAAAAAGGGGGCCCAACTTGCCGAGAGAAGGCCCCGAAATTGCGGAACGTGGTAAATATTAAGGAATTTACAGAAAAAAGAGGTCGAAAAAGGTCGAATGGAAAGTATTTTCAAGCCCCCATTATCTGAAACTAGTGTTGGGATAAATTTTTGGGACGTTTTGTTTTCGGAAAAAACCGTCGACCTCGCTGACATTTTCCAGAGAAATTTTTGCTCTCCGAAAATGTTTTTTGAGGGGGAGGCCCAAATTTTTGAATTCACCCCCCGCCCCCCCCCCCAACCAGATATCGCTCAGGACGGCCCTGGCTGAGTATGTTAATTGAAAAACTTGGGTAAATTAATGCATTCGCAATGACTTAAAATTTTGAGTAAAAATAATCAAATGAGAAATTTACGAGTAAATTAAACTCAATATTTTAAGTTACTGTGGGTGAATTCTTTTACTCAAATTTTTCATGAGTCAACTCTCAAAACCTTTGCTGTGTTTTCATTTTCTTGTGTACTTATGAGGCAAATTTTTTCTGTCTCGCTTATAGATGAAAAGTGTTCAAAACCGAAAATCTTCTTGGCGCATACCTCCCAAAATTACTTTGTTTTGCCTTAAGACCGTTTGTTTCCTGAGCACTAGAGTGGAACTAATGACTTCGACGTCAAAGAAATTGCTACGAAATATGACGTGTAATTACCGTCAAAATGTTACTACTAATTTGCGATACTGTTGTAAATTTTCGGGACCACGTTGTAGATTTTCTGTTTCAATAGACCTTATGCATAATGACGTCACAAGGCTTGATGCCCGCGAGGAATGCTGGTCTTAGTAGTCGTCGCCTGGGAAATTTCGAAAGTGGCCATTTTTAATTGTTTAATTTTTCCGGGCGATGACTACTAAGACCAGCATTCCTCGCGGGCATAAAACCTTGTGACGTCATTATGGATATGGTCTATTCTTCTACATTTTGTGACGAACCCAATTTTTTGTCCTAAGGTCAACTTTTATTGACAACCCGGTTTTCTTCTATAATGAATTTTATGAGGCAAAGCTAATTATTATTTTTTGCTTAAATAAACTTCTTGAAAAAGAACAATTTCGTAAGGTAAAATAATTAGTTCATCACAAAATAGGAAACATCGCCATTCGTGCAAATCCTATTTTGTGACAAACTGAATTTTCTGTTGTGTCACAGCTGAAAAGACTGGTAACCAATCACATATCCCGTCTTATCCCAAACGCTCCCCACCGCAGTCCATTAAACATTCTGCTAAAATTCTGTTGATTGCATCTGCCAAGCATTGTTGGAATGCATTCGGAATTTGGAAATTTAGACTGCAACACGATCGAAGCAATCCATTTCAGGTTAGACTGGTTGCATAAAATGTTAGCACGTTATTTTCACAATAACACTTCATTAGTGGACTTCCTTGGAAGAGCACGGGACACACTTTATGTCTCAATCAATTCCATGGGTGCCCACCCCGCTCTCCCGGGCGTTTGTCGGGCATTTCAACTGTACTTGTTCTCAGAGTCGGGCATTTGCTTTCTGCAAGTTAGCCCCGAGGTGGGGAATTTGCTCGAGCCAAATACCTGTCTGATGATCTTGAAAAACGAGCTTTTCGAATAATATTCCCAGAACAAGACTACAAAGAAGCATTGAGGAACACGAACACCCCATCACTTTACGATAGAAGACAGGAATTAACAACAAAACTTTTTAAGGACATAGTCAATAATCCCGAGCACAAATTAACGGATTTGTTACCGCCATTAAATAAAGACAATAGCCTCTTTTTGCGTAAAAATAGGAAATTTAACGTGCCATGACTTCATAAAACGAACAGATTTAGGAACAATTTCATCACTTATAACTCTAATAAGTTTTCTGAATAACTGTTTTTACCATGAATATGCTGGTTTTTTAACCTAAGTTAAATTATAGCACTAGTGAGTGTTTTAGTAACAAATTATAAGTCTGCGCATATGTGTATGTGAATGTGTATTTTCAAGAATTCTTAGTCTAATCTTATTCATTTTCTTAAACAAAATGCTTGTAAAAATTAGTTTATCTTTCTTAATATCTTTGTAAACCTAACATATTTCAGCAGTGGAATTAGATAAATTCTGGAGCTATAAGTTTAGTGTCAAATAAACTATCAAACTATCAAACTACGCCCTGGCCAATCCGAATGACATGCACCCGCAGGGACTCAAAATCTGTTTTTGAGTAAAAATACTCAGGTTTATGAGAAAATTTTTGCGTAAAGTTTAAAATCTACACAATTTTTTTTGAGAAAAGATTTACAAAAAATGAGCAAATTTGCTCAAAAATTTAGGAATTTTACTCAATATTTTGAGTCACTGTGGGTGCAATAAGTTACTCAAGTTTTTGATCAAAACTTTTTCTATGTTTTTATTTTCTTGAGTACTTAAAAACGAAATTGCTTCGAAGTTGCCAAGTTTGCA